TGTGGGTGTGGTGGTGTGGTGGTGGTGGCGGCGGTGGCGGCGATGGCAGCAACGGCAGCGGCGGTGGCAGCAGTGGCAGCAGTGGTGGTTGGGGCTAGTGGTGGTGGTAATGGGTGGAAAGTGTCGATGGTGGTGGTGGTGATAGTGCTGCTGCTGCTGCTGCTGCTTTTCTGCCGTCGTGACTCTCGGTGTGGTGCAAGCAGCGTCTAGGCCAAACAGCGTGTCGAGTGTATTACGCTGCCCTAATGCCGGATACAACCCTGCGCGCGCAATCGTTCGATAGACGCGCGAACCACCGCTGCCGCCACCTCCGCCTTCACCGCCGTCGCTGCTACCGCTGACACCACTACTAGCACCACCGCCACCAACGCTCCTTCCCCCCCCCCCCGTAATCGTTCTCGTCGTCCTCGTCGTCGCTGTTAATGTTCCGCCAACTCTGGGGATGAGAAAGACGAAGACTGAGTGCCGCGACAGCTTACCACACTCATACAGCCACATACACTCACTCGTCTCTGAGTCGTATATGTACATAGACGGGGGGGACTTTTTCTCTTTTTATCGCCGCCTTAGGGTATCTCTTTGCTGTGTTCCCGTGACCTGCGGCGCCTTCGGTGCGAAGATGCTGAGATTTCACCTCCTCTGCCCGCTTGGAATTCTTCCTCGACGTCGAGCTCCTTTCCACCCATTCCATCTCGAATATTGCAAATGAGGGCCTTGAGGAGCCAATAGCTGCAGCGTGCATCTATGATTTCAGGATGTAATGCGTGATTGGGCATGGATATTAGACCGAACGTATCGAGCTCAGGTGAATGCTTCACGTGACTTGGTATACGATTTAGCAAGTAGCGATATTAAAGCTAAAATACTTTTAAGCGACTTTGCAAATGGAACTGCATCGACGTCCATTACCTCACCTTACGTTTACATATCCCTTTTTGCGCATTTTTCCCCCGGCTTTACGTAAAATGAGGTATTTGCAATTTCGAAAATCGATAATGCAATTGCGCTGGAAAATTTACGTTGCGACAGGGTTTATAACGAGAGGATCGCGTGCAGTCGACGATGATTTTTGCAAAATACAACCGGGACTCTGCACTAGACGTCGTTCTCTTCGAGCAGAGACTCGGCTTATTCAGCAATTTTTACTGAAATAACTAGAGGTCTTATCTCATTGTTGATTTCACGGGATTGATAGGAGTTTCGGGGATAGCGCCGTAAATGATAATCACTAGTAAATTTATCGAACCGTCGATGTGGCTTCGCCTTAGCGAGCTCGTTACGATACATTTTCAATTCTTTCGAGCGAAAGATTAAGTTTGCAGGCCGTTTTATTCGACTGGATAAGACGCCGTACCGTAAAATTATCGCGCGTAAAATCTTTTGTAAAATTATTTCCTTGCTGTCCTATAATAAAAATTATGGGACCACTAAAGAATATAAAGACGTAAGGGCTTAAGGTTTTTATTACATAGAGGTCTACTACTGAAAAGTTTTTGTTACGTGTGCGATTGATTATTAGCTGTGTTACAATATAGCTTTTTATATTGTTTATTCGGTGGAAAATATGTATGCTATATATATTATGAATTAGTCGATAATGAAAAATTGAATAAGAATGCAATTGTAGTTATACATCAAGTTTACTGAAGCACATAAATTCAAGCCCATAAAAATATGATTTTTGTTATTTCATTTCAAATCGCACAATCAATATCGATCGATGAGATTTGTTCCATTTACCAATTTGTTGATGATTAAGTGACTGGTACAAAGTATTTTTAGATTTATTTTCAAGTATTTTCACGCGATATGTATTTAAATAGTATTAAAACTAAATAAATCGATATTTTATAAGATTCTAATAAAAGTATCACCGATCAATCAATAAATCAAAATGTCTTTACGAATACTTGGAACGTAAGCCGAGATAGCATAATGATAAGGTCGAGCGAAAGTTTTTCGTCGTCTTTTCTACAATTGTAATAGCAGATCCAATTGCGGTAAATTAATTTATTATTATTAAACGCTTGTATGACTTTCATGGAATATCAATTAAATTTAGTCGTTTAATAAGCTTTTGGAGGGATTTGCCTCAACCCGAATTTATATGCGAACGAAGCATTCTTTATTATTTAAACTTCATTTGATCGTTGTTAATAAATTGAATACCGAATGAAATAAAGGCAAATTTCAATTTAGTCGTTCAAATTCCCAAGACCATAAATACGTTTTCCTTATCTTCAATACAATTATCCGTTGCCTTTGCAAAATAATCTTTTACAAATCAATATAGTTTTTAATTTAAAACACAGCAATATTTATTGTTCAGTATGACTTCGACGCAATTAGCAAGAAAATTATTGTGACGATAAAGTAAATAATAATGAAAAGTGAACATACATTGATACCTTTATTTGATTACTGAGAACGATTATGTAATATTTCAACTAGACAGTTTGATAATACATCGACTTTAAGTTCTTCTCGAATCAATCCATGAACATTTTTACATATTCTATTCGATTCGTAAAATAATGAAACAATTCTAAATGAAGAGCAATTTGACTTCATGATTTCTAATAACGTAAATAAGTAATAATTTCATTTAGGCAATCAAAATCTAGATAAATTGTAGTATATTATGTGATTTTCTTTTTATTTACGGAACATAATCCTTACCTAACAAAACGATTGAATTATAACTAAACGTCATTTAATTATTTATAAGAATAAGTTTATTAATTAATAAAAACAGATTGCTGAATTTATTATTAATTTATAGGCTTGTATTTAAATTATAAATCAATTGATTAGCCAATAAAGACTGGATAGATAATTCAAGCCCTAAACTTTAATCGGATAATGCTTTTAGCTTTAATTAAATAATAAGTTCTAAATGTTTTCATTAAAATTAAAATGTACAAGCAAGTTATCTTTTATAAATCTGAATTTTTAAAAATAAGGACATAAATTATTCTTTAAACTAATGATAAATCGTTATTCTATATATATATATATATATATATATATATATATAGTGACTATAAGCTTAATGCGCCAATTCCGCGATTTAGTGTACTTTAATTGCTGCTTGGCAAATCACGATGTTATTTATTCGAAATGTACTCGACGCATTTTAATGCTCGTCGGCGTGATTTGACATTTTCATAACGTTAATGTAACACACGAAGCTTGATAAATCGTATCCTATTAAGCCTAAATGGATTAAAATTTGATAACTAAAGCATAACACCTGTTGAGTTGAACAAATTCGCAAATGTTAAGATTCTCGTATACTGACGATAATCCTCAATTATTTTCCTCTCCAAGGTATTTTTCTCAACTACTCCGGTGAATTCAATGGGTTAGCAATGTTATTCCGAACGTTGACTCTCAAAATTTTAAGATTAAGAAACAAGGATGCGCGAATTGATTCAAGCGCGCCATCACTCGTCATTAATGAATCTATCAACCTCATCGATGGAACGACTCAATTACGGTAATTAGGCAACTAAAGTGTCAAAATGCGTCATATAAACATTTACGCAAAACATAAATTTAGAAAAGAATGCAGCGGGAGGTGACATCTACTCGAACATCAAGGACTAGATATTGTAAACTGAAAAGTTTTTCATCGACTGTCAACGCAAGCATTAAAAGGCGATTAAGTGACGCTCGGATGTCCCACACCAATGAAGGTGAATCTGGGTCGTCCTCACTTGCTCTATATCACTCTCCTTATATATGTGTAAATAGATCCTACTACTCTGCATCACACAGAAGCATAAGATACTTTTTTACTCTTGTGCTCAGAGACCTTGAGCGCTTGAACGCCGATGCTGCAAACAGAGTCTCCACGTCATGAAGTCCCTCTCCTGCGGCAATAATTTATCTATATATCATCGCTCTCTCTCTCTCTCTCTCTCTCTCTCTCACTCTCTCTCTTTCATCCTCCCGGGTGTGAATCTTGGGACGAACAAACGATCATTAAATATCTCTTTATATTATCCCTCGCTACTGTCATTCAAAGAGTTCTTTTGTGCATGGCATCCGCTACCGTCGCTCAAGATAACGGAGCTTTT